GGCCAGCCTGGCGGCAGTGGTGGGCTTCCTCATCGTCTTCACCATCGTGGGCAACGTGCTGGTGGTGATCGCCGTGCTCACCAGCCGGGCGCTGAGAGCCCCCCAGAACCTCTTCCTGGTGTCCCTGGCCAGCGCGGACATCCTGGTGGCTACCCTGGTCATGCCTTTCTCTTTAGCCAACGAGCTCATGAATTACTGGTACTTCGGCAAGGCTTGGTGTAACATTTACCTGGCGCTGGACGTGCTCTTCTGCACCTCCTCCATCGTCCACCTGTGTGCCATCAGCCTCGACAGGTATTGGTCGGTCACACAGGCGGTGGAGTACAACCTCAAACGGACCCCCCGGCGGATCAAGGCCATCATCCTCACTGTCTGGCTCATTTCAGCTGTCATCTCCTTCCCGCCATTGATCTCCATGTACCGGGACCCTGAAGGAGATGTCTTTCCCCAGTGCAAGCTCAATGATGAGACATGGTACATCCTTTCTTCATGCATTGGCTCTTTCTTTGCTCCCTGCCTCATCATGGTGTTGGTCTATATCCGCATCTACCGCGTGGCCAAGCTAAGGACCAGGACCCTCTCTGAGAAGCGTACGATGCCAGAGGGGTCCTCCCAGACGGAGAACGGCTTGAGCCGCGCTGCTGGCGGCTGCACGTCCCTGAGGATGCAGCTGGGAGAGAATGGACATTATTCAGTGCACCACTGGCGCAAAGCCTCTGAGCTGGAGGACATTGAGCTGGAGGAGAGCAGCACCTCAGAGAGTAGACGGAGGCGGAGCCGGGAGGAGCATCCCCGCAAAAGCAGCAAGAGCCAGTCCTTCTCCTACTCATATTCCTCCAAGCACTCTAGTAGCCGTCTGTCCCGCTCTAGCAATCGCTCCATGCAGTTCTTCTCATATCGCCGTCGCCGGAAGCGTAGCAGCATCTGCCGTAAGAAAGTCACCCAGGCCCGGGAGAAACGCTTCACTTTTGTGCTGGCCGTGGTCATGGGGGTCTTTGTAGTTTGCTGGTTCCCTTTCTTCTTCAGCTACAGCCTTTACGGTATTTGCCGGGAGGCATGTGAGGTCCCCGAGACTCTCTTCAAGTTCTTCTTCTGGATTGGGTATTGCAATAGCTCCCTCAACCCAGTCATCTACACCATCTTCAACCAGGACTTCCGCAGGTCCTTTAAACACATTCTCTTCAAGAAGAAGAAGAAGAACTTCCGGCATTGAGCTGGAGGGATGGATTTGCCTTGAGCAGGAGTAGAGTTAAAAGTGAAGGAGAAGGCTCTATGCTGAAAAGGAAGGGAGGGCAGAGAACATGGGGTTTGGGCTTAGAGAGAAGGAAGAGGGCTCGCCCCTTCGATGGAGCAGAGTGATGCCGTCGGGTATGGGGATGGTCTTGGGGAGGCTGAGGGCATTCACCGTGGTACAGAGTGGCAACATGGTGCTGGAGTGCAGGTGGGTAACCAGGGAGGGCAGTTAGTGTCTTTGAACCCTGACGGAGGGCATAGGGAGTCCACAGAGGAAAATAGGCTAAGACACTGAGTTTGCGAGGCAGTGAGCTTTTATGGGCTCTGGAATTTTGTGGGAAAATAAGCAGAGACATCAAGAGGAAAGGATTAAGTGGCAGTGGTGGCAGAGATTTGAGTATTTATAAATACAGCAGCTGGGGCCTGCGGTGGGCTCGTCTCAGTAAAGAATTGGCTTTTGCTGCTTACATGGGGAAAGAAAGTGCAAAGTACCAGGCACTGACAGTCTTTTGAGTTATGAAAGTATTTAAATGTTTGCCAAAAAAAACAACCTACACAACAATCCAAACTCTTTTATAAATAAACCTTTGTACTGTTAAAACCTTCTGAATTATGATTTTACACAGGGCTTAAGTCAATCAGAAAGCATGGGGTTTTCTTTTTCTTTGGAGGGGTCTTTGCATATAGAGCTGGATGGGAAATGTTCTTCCTACCTTTCCATAATTTTTGATTTGTCAGTGGGACAAACCCAGGAGTCTTGCATGTTTTCATGAAATATGAAAAAAAGCACATGCACTCCGTGATCTTATTTCCCCCCGTTGAGTCGCCAGGCAGTAAATTCCTGCTCCAACCCTCTCAATCAGTAGCCTAAGCACCTCGGTGTCCTGGAGCGGGCAGGTTGTCTGGACACAAGGGTTCTGTCTTAAACCAACTTCCATTGGGGAAAAAAAAAACATTTTGGTGAACTCAACTCACCTTTTCAGAGTTAAAAGAAAAAAATTAAATTGCCAACCAGCTCAATTTGCAAGTGCCCTGGGGAACTTTGCCCCCCTCTTTTTAGAACCCCCTCAGAAGGCTTATCTCAGGGGCTGGATGCGTGCTGCTCTCGTTCTCAGACAGGCAGTTGGAGGCAGTCTGCTATGCAGATTTTCAGAGGAAGAGCAATCACCACACCACTAAGGTCTTTAAATCCTTTGTATTTACAGTCTTAGAACAACTAAATCCTTTATATTTACTTTTTTAATGAGAAGCGTACATTGCAGATTGTCGGTGTATGTGAACAAATCTCGAAGGTGCAGCTGTTCTAAACCTTTAATATTAATGTTGCTTTCTTTCCCTTTTCCTGTTTGCATTTCTAGTTTATGATTTCAGAGGATTTTGTTGGGGGGAGGGGAGGGAAGAAGGGAGAAGAGTTTGAACAGTTATCAAAGCAGACTGTGCTTCCCATGGGCTTATAAAATGTCATAAACTGTAATGAAGAGAATGAGAGACAGGGACTGGTGTCTGTACGTTCACCACTGAATGCACACCCAGTATAAGGCTCAGCTGAGCATTTACACCCCTTCTCCAGCTGTCCTGCTGCAAGGTGTGTATTCTGTCTGCGGGGTAAATACTGCTCCATTTTATGGGTATCACTCCTTCCATAGGCAGCAGGATTTGGCATCTGCCTCAAATGAACCTTTCCATAATAAACAGCTCTTTGAAAAATAGAATGAAATCAATCTCATACGGCAGGCTTCTTGAAACAGCTAAACTGATTCTATACCTGAGAATCATTAGATATCCCCTTCCTTACTCCCTCTGTTCTGTCTGACAGGTAGCCTCTTTTCTCTTGAAATCTCTGTAGCATAAGAAGAAGTGATAGAACAGTTCCTTTGTTTCATCAGTTTTTCATAATAATCATTGGGTTCCCTTAACCCTAGAAAAGGAGGTTGTCAGCGGCTAAGATTCTGGTGTTAATTCAATAGACAATTTAACTTCAGGGCCAACTCAAGTGGGAGTTCTGCTGAAGTAAGAATTAGACGATTGCACCAAATGCATTAGAAGTTTGCTTGATTTCACCAAAGAAACAACTGAGACATTTTCAAAGTCCTAAGTCCGTAACTTATTGGATCCTTTCTTGAAAAATGGCTTGGAGTTGTGAAAAGATTTGAGCTTATTTTAAACATCTGCACTTAAAGAAAGGATGTTAAGACTTATTTTCAAGACTATCCCATTGTAAAAAATGGTTTGGTACAAATACGTACCTGAGACAGATAAATAAGAGAAAAAAATAGCAACAGAGAGGAGGAAATTACAAGCCATTTTCTCTTTTGCAAAATGGAGAATTTTTTTTAAAGTTACATCAAGAAGAGCTGAAATAAGCTCATATTATTTGTAGGTAATGATGTAGCTTAAAAGTTCAGGTTTCTTTAATCTGAAGAAACTATATAATTGCCAGACCAACCAAAGCAACATATGGTACATAGCTACTACCTCTGAGCTACTGGACAGCTTCATTAGAGATACCCATTTCTACCAAGAGGAAGGTCTGCTTTTGTCACTTCGTGCTCATTTAGAGTGGTTTCCCAGTCGGCAGACACACAGCAGTTTCACTGTTGCACTGCTTTTGAAATGAGATTTGTTGCCTGTAAACGAAATCCTTCCCCTTCATTTTTCTTTGTAGAATTTGAGGAGTCTATGGAAATGAAATTTAATTGACAGTCAGATTTTAGTGGATGTGAAGTGTATATGGAATGACTGATGTGCCTTAAAAGTAGTTTCTTTGCTATAAAATTATTCTGTGGTCATTATAAACATAAAGGAAATAATGCTTCTGTTTTTGTTTTGCATTTCCAATTGTCTAAAAGGGATTGATGCAGATACTGAACATCTATGTGCAGCAGCATACCTAAAACCAGGGCATTTTCTGTGGTTTTAACTTTTTTCTCATCACAGTTACTCATCTGACTCAATGCCTCAAAAGGATCTTATTTCTTCTGAGCTAGATAAAAAGTAATATCAATAAAGATGTGCAGTATACACCCCTTTTAAGTGCATTTTCCTCTAAATTAGTGAATACAGAGGATTTCTATAAAATTGTTTTTAATGTAACTACTGAATATTCTTCAAGGAAGTAAAATGGGGCTGATTTATTTTTTTAATTACAGTGTTCTCTTATTACTTGTAATAGCCGAAGACTGGAATTTGTTTGTAACATACTATGTGGTGTTAACTTTTCATAAAAAGTTGTTAGCTGTGCTACTCACACTGTGGTTGTGCTTCTGCTGTAAGTTGGCTAATAGCATATACAGGAAAAAAATAATCAATGCAGCTTTTGCTTAAGAAAAAGGGGGAAGATATTTTATGTTTCAAATGTGTCCAGTTTTGTCTTTGATCACATCTGATGAGCTGGTTGAAACACTCACTCTACTGTTGTGGAAGAACAAAATGTTGCCATGAAGCCATACTGATTTTAACAACAGGCACCTGATCTTTAACTCTTCATTTGCTCATTTCACCATGAAGAAAATTTTCTGTCAGTCTAAAGTGAGAAGTTAATGTTTTATTTTCAAAACCAATTTTCTGAACAGTGCCACTATTGGTTGGTTATTGAAATATCAAACAGCGTAACTTATCTAGGATGGGAACTCAGTGCTGCCATCCTTCAGCCCTCTTCTGTGGAAGTTTCGCATGATCGAGAACTGCAAGGCTTGAGGCAGATGGAAGGGGCCTTATATATAGGAGATTTGACAGGATTACAGCTTTAAATCAATGTCTAAAATAAGAATCAGGCCCTTGTTGTTCTGTGTGATCCCTGTTCAGAAGGGTCATGTTGCTCCAAAACCACTGGCAATTTCTGGGAAGTAGACCTGGGATGAAAGACTACATGCAAGCAGCCTTGCCCTCATTGAGCTGTATCACCCTTTGTGAGTAATCCCAGAAAACTTCAGCAGAGTTTACTTGTCAATGAGGGCGCTACTCAGTGTGGGCAAGGGTGTTAGAAGCCTCCTTAGACATTGCCTCTTTTTCAGTACATGCACCTGAGGAATGGAAGCAAACATCTGTGGATAAATGTACAAGAACTGAAAGAAAGCCATCCTCTCAGCTTAACTTTGTTCAAACCCACAGAAGGTGTGGGTCAAGGGGTTTCTGACTATATAAGCAGGGCAACAAATCCCACTGTATATTTTCAGTATAAGCTGTGTAAAAAGCATTGTCTGATTGCCTGTGTTTTTCAGAGAAGAAAGCTGTTGGTCGCTTTCTTGCTCTGTGGAAATTGGTATTGGTTAGAACACTAAGGATTTTGTAGGAAATGTCAGTAATGACATGCATTTCAGAAGAATGTTCTAACCTTAAACTATGACTACAGTGAAGAAGGAGGGAATACCTACAAGCTTTGCAAAATGAAGGCCAGATGCTATCTGTGAGTTTGTTTTCATGGTTGCTCATTGTGACTGTGTTGTTGAGCAGAAGGCAACTAGATGCTTCAGAGAAAAAGCTCTGATTTGGAGGGGGGATGGTGCATGAGGAAGTGACTATCCACAACACTGGAGGAATTAATATTTACTTGCCTTCTTTGCACTGTAGACAAGTACAGAGGAGGAATTTGCCTTTTTCATTGCACAACAGCAAATGTTAATTTGCTTTCTAGATCTGTGGGTCAACTAGACCGTATAAAAGATGACACAGGAGAAGGTAGGGATAGGGGATTGCTCGCTTCAGTGTTCAACACCACACTTAAGTTTGTCCTTTGTCCTTGAAATTAAATCAAAAATACAGTTTGGCACTTGGGCCCAAAAAGTCTTGTAGCATCAGTAATGCTACACTGAATATAATCTAGTTTTAGCAAAAAGCATCAGTTTGTATTATACACCCTGCACATCTCTGTTTCAGGACAGAAATGGGAGAGTCTGCCACTTAAGGCATGTGAGAAAGGAGTAATCAGCTGTTTAAAGGGTCATGGGTGTATTGTGAAATTTCTCTAGATCCCATTCTGATAACTGAGCTGGTTTAAATGTTTCAGCTTCACAGTCACTTTAAACTCCTAAGAAAGACTTAGGGAGGTACGTTACATGGAAACAGTAGAAATACTGCTTCTCAAGGAAGCATATTGCTCTGAGAGTCAGTGTTCAAACAGTTATACCAGATGCCCAGTCCTCCAGTGAGTGGATAACTCTCCTGCTGGTTGTAGTGGGAAAGTATCTTCTGGGGGTATCTTCAACTCACAGTGACTATCATGCTTGGTCTCAATTTAGGTGATACTACAGTTGGTACATTGCCTTTGTTTGAAGTGGCCCTTAGAGTACGACAGAAGACAT